AACATAAAGGATTTAAATGAAAAATCTAGAATTTAAAATGCCCTGATATGTTTCATGCTTCCTAGCATAGTCAACATCCAGAAAGAGAGGGATGAAGTATATGGATTCTACTGTGCAATTATTTTTCCCTGGGACACAAGAAGTATTGATAAATTTACCATCTGATATCTCAGTTTGTAAATGCAAAATACTTGGTACCCATGAAAAATGTCAGTATCTTTAATAGCAAACTAGGTAGCTCTTCTATGCATATCTGAGAAAGGATTTATGTATGTTTGTGTGTCTGTGCATGTTGAGAGATGCAAATGATTTTTGTTATGTGTGCTTGTCTAATCCTTAGCCCAACAAACTGTATCTCAAAATATAATGGGTTTTAAAAAAATATGCTACCCATAGCATTTTTTAATATGGCACTAAAAATGAAGGGTATTCATAAGCAAAGATATATCTCTTTTCATAATAGTTAAAATAAAAAAAATATGTTTGTATACTAACTCACTGCAATTCATTTCCACAAGGCATGTTAAAAGTTTCTTCATTTGAGGCCAAATGATACTCTCAGTACACAGCTTTAAATTTCTGTACGTTTAAGTTTTTCTAGTATTTACTTTAAATACCAAGTTTCCAATACCAAAAAAGACTAACATGCAAACTCCTTTCTCCTAAACTTTCTAAGTACTCCCTAAACCTTCTAAGCACTCCTGAATTAAAGTATATCCCCAACATTTTATATGTGGAAGTAGTTCCTTAGAATAATATATTTTTCCACATGAATTTGAATACTGAGTTTGGTACATCTGCCCCAGCGAATTTTTCCAAAGTGGAAGAAACATAGTTTGACCTACAAAGAACTCTACTCACCCCGATGTAGATCTAGTCTAAGGCCAAGTGTCTTATGAGGCCAGTGATTTCGTTCAATACTGAAAGGAAAAGTCCAGTGAGAGATGTGGTATTCTAATTTCCATGCTGAGTACTTCCTCCCTCTGCCATACTATTCCTGTGGGGCTCTGACTTGCCTGTTGTAACCTAAGCATGATGTGCTTAGTTTCAAAGGATCAGTTCCTGTTGCCATGGGCTCCTGCAACTTGTCATTGCCAAGTACAGCTGGGCCTCATTTTTTCTATGTCTCACCCCCTGTTGCAAGTTCTATTGGAACTGCTTTCTTTTGAGGCATCCTTCCTTTTTTTCAGTGACAGAATATTTGTTTTACTTTAGACACAGTTCCACAAATATCTTTAGAGGAAGCAAAGTTTGAATGGGAATTATCACTGTTGAATAATAAAAGTATAGGTAGCTAGAGTTTTTCACTTGGCTTCAAACATAAGGTCAATATACAAATCGTTCCAAGGGCCAGAGGAAGTGGTAAGATATGACCTACCGCTTTGTTGTCAGGAGGTATTTACAGACACTAGATACTGTGAATATCTTTAAAAGGGGTATTCTCATCTAACAACTACTTAATAGTAAATCTATATCAACGAAATGATTATTCACTCCAACCTTTAACAGGTTTATTTATTACATAGTAAAATCAATAGTCTAGTAACCAAGTATAGTATGGATAATGTAGCGAAGTAGATAGTATTTTGACAGTAATGTATGCAACTTTATTATACCATAAATACTATAGTATAGTAGATGTTTATACTATAGTCAATTTGTATAGTAAAGTTGATAGTGTTGATAGTATTGAGAGTAAAGTCAAAATACTTCCTCTTTCATCTAAACTTTACATTCCATTGCAATGCCATTGAAAGTGTATATTTTAAAACAACCTTTAAATATTTCTCAACCGGAGAGAGGTTTTCACAATCATTTTGGATTGCCAAGGGGACTGGAATAGGGAGGAGGAAGAAAACCATGGCACTGATAAAATTATAAATTGTACTGTGCATGTGAATTCACAGTACAATTTATAATTTTATCAGTGCCATGGAATTCACAGATTTCAGATTAATATACCTGGAATTTTTCTGTCACCTGAGAATTGAAGAATTGATACCAAAATACAATAAACCAGCAATTTCTGGCCATTGTTATCAGTAAGTGATGGATCAATGGTTTTAAATTTAATTGCATTATGTCCAGCAAACACTAGCCTGAACAGTAAAGAGTTCTGCAAATCATTCTTTACTGTAAAGACAGGTGCTAGTCATCACTGCTGTGATATTTTTCAGTCCAGTTAGATATCTACTCTTTGTGATGATCCTTATTGCATTTGTTTTAAAGTCTGCATTAAAGACCCAAGTCCTAATTTTCAATTCTGATTATATATCATACTCTTACTCTTTTCTGCTACAATTTTTTTTTTCTGAAGCACTTTAAACAAACAACAAGATCCGGAAATGTAAAACTCCCTAGACCAACGGAACATAAGTAGTCATTTGTCTACATTCTCTGGCTAAGTAACTTCTAAGCACTCCTGAACTAAATAGAAGGACAGATTACTGTTTCTTTTGCTTAAAGTCTCACGTCACCTAATGAATCTGAATAGCTTGAGTTTGTGAGAAAGCCTTTGTTAATCACAATGCAATACAAAAGTCTCACTACATCCAGAACTATTAACCTAAAGACCTGATTTAAAAAAAAGATAGATTGTATAGGAAAACAAATTTAAGTCTCTATGGAACTGAATAAGACAGAAAGGTTTCAACGAATTTGATACAGGTATGTCCTCTTGACCTTGCTCTAATGAATACAATTATTTTGGATTTGCTTCTACAAACTAAATCATTTATACAGAAGATGATTATGAGCCATCTTTGTATTAGTTCACCTCATTTGAAGCAGAAGAATCATAGTCAGATAAGAATGAGAATTCAAGCCTGATCAGGCTCCTGCTTAGATGGCTGGGATGAGACAGGGAGGAGGTGGGGTGAGGTGCATGCTGGTCAGCCTTCAGTGCCCTTCCAGTGTTCTCAAAGACAGGACAAAATGACTGTGGTTTTGGCATGCAGGGGCCAGCTTGTTCAGGAAATTGTGGCATATATAAAACAAAGTGCATAAACAAACTCTCCATCCAGGAAGCTGAATTTAACAATTGCCTCATTAACAAGGTCCACGGAAGGACAGGAAAAGAGGGGGAAGCCAATGGCTGATTATTATACAGTTTTGAACAGATGAAGCCCTTCAGCTTTTCCCCAAACAATCCCTGTAGTGTGGATTTGACAAAGTGGCACATTTAAGAGAGAACTCTCTTGCCATTAATGGGAGTCAGGCAAACGCATAACTGAAGGCCAAATTCAGTCCCTGGAACTTGACTTTATCAGTAGACACAAGACAGAGGACAAGGCAGCTATATCCACAGAGAATTAATTAAGTGAAAGAGAGACATCCAGTGAATGTAATCAATAGTCTAAACACTGATCTACATATCAACCACTATTGCATTCTCTCCTCCTATTTTAAAAAAATTATTTACACTAAGGTGCTCTCAAACTACACTTTCATCAGAGATTTATTTACTACTTGGCCTCATTGAAATTTCACATTCTTCATATTGCATCATACAAAATATACCCTCAAAGATGAAACAACCTGATGCCAGCTTAAGTTTCTGAATGGTTGGAATAGTTTTTAGGTAGAATATATTATGGGTAATTTATTTGTTTGGCTTTCTCCCTGCACATTTCTTCAGTTTCATATGGAATGTATGTTGATAAGTCTGACTTCAGAATTGCCACAGTCCATAACCAAATTTGTCTTTACTGGCTAGTTTTGTTTTATCTTTTTTTAATATTGTGCTTTCTGTAACATATCATAAAATCTTGCTTGCAAACACATATATTGGTTTAACACAACCCTTTCCATTACTGACGTTTTTTTCTTATATCTCTCTCAACCCTTTCCAACCCAACACACATATCAAAACACATTGCAGTTACCCTTATGAAACCAATGAAAACAATTATAATATTTATATTGCTTTCATTTGTACTAGGCAATAGTACAGGTCTCATTACCTTCACATGTCAGTGGCTTACCAGAGGCATCACTTTTTAAGATCAGGTTCTTGGTTAAGTCCTTTGGCAAAGATCCTGATTCCTCTTGAATCTGTGCTTTGTATACATTTCTCCTAAGCAGCACTGAGACCAGAGTAATTTGTCGATCATCACTTTTGATGTGATCCAGCCCCATCAATTCAACAGCAGCCTTTATTGCTTAAGGAAAAGAGGAAATTCTGCCTCCTGGACATAAACATGTGAATTTTCTATGTCCAGGACCAAAAGGATGAAAAGGGCAGATTTAACCAATATTTCCATAAGAATGAAAGTCTCACTTAATCCACACGTGTAATGCTTTGCTCATTAATCACATTTCAGGGGCCTATCTGTAAGCATTTTTGGATTGCCATTGGGTCTAATTTTACAGATCTTACTTACACCACACTCCCTTTGAAACAGGCGGGAGTGTGACTTGAGTAAGCTATAAAACCAGAGCTCATTATTTTTTCCTCTGACTATGATTGCTTTTATAAATAGATGTGATTTCAAATGCAGCATGAATACAACCTCAGGATAATCTAAAATAGAAAGATGCCACAATAAATAAAATATTAAAATGGAAAAAAAAAGTGGTTTGCCAGAAAGAGGTTAATTTCTTCTGACTCAAAATCTAGTGGCCAGGCAAAATGAAAAAAATAATGATAAGATGTAGATTTATCACTGACACAATGATAGCGTATTGGTGGCCAAAAAAATTTCATGAGATATAAAGACGCATATGCTACCCATGCCTTAGGCCCACTGGAAGCAGCTAGTGTTCAACCAGTTTGGTTTTTATATGGCCTTCAAAGATATATGTCAACGAGGATTAATTATTCCAAAATTAAAAAAATTACCTGATTGTTGATCAAAATATATGAAATGGAGAAAAAGAAAATAAACAAACAAACAAACATACCATGTTCACACACAAAACAAAAATAATTCTCTCAGGCACATCAGGGAAGGTGGAATACTATAACAACACATGTTATATTGTTATACTATTCCACCCACCTTAATGAGGAACCCTTGGGCGTTGCTACTCCATAGCCTTTCGAATCCAGATTTCCTCCCACTTTCATCGTGTCACATGGCTTTCGCTGTTCAATGTATTCATTCATAGTGGACTCCAGGAGAAAGGCAAATTTGCCCTTGGATTTGCGGACACGAGCTACTCCCTCAGCTGTAGTCCTAGTGAACACTGATGGCTCTGCTGATCGCATGTAGGTCCACATCTTTTCATACACTGCTATTTTTGATCTCTGGAGGAGATTGAAATAAAATTAAATACAGGAAAGAAAGGAACAACAGGTTAATATTTACTGAACCAAGATAAGAATAAAGTGTTTTAGTATCTTTCAATTGCTCTCTAACTCCAGTTTGTAACATAATAGTAACATTAGTCATTTCAAATTTGAAAAATTTTCAAATTGAAAATTTTTCAAATTGGAAAACTGCGTTTTAACACTGCTTAAGGAAATCATTGAGATGGCAGACATTTAAAAGTTGTATCTGAAGAAGCCCACACCTCTTGTTGTAACAGTTACTACACTCAGCTGCTTAAATAGTAACCTATTATTATTATTTTGAGAGGAAGCCTCACTCTCTCACCCAGGCTGGAGTGCAGTGGCATGATCTCTGCTAACTGCAACCTTTGCCTCCCAGGTTCAAGCAATTCTCCTGCCTCAACCTCTCGAGTAGCTGGGACTACAGGCATATGCTGCCATGCCTGGCTAATTTTTTATATTTTAATAGGGACAGGGTTTCGTTGTGTTGCCCAGGCTGGTCTTGAACTCTTGGGCTCAGGCAATCTGCCCTCCTTGGCCTCCCAAAGTGCTGGGATTACAAGCATGAGCCATGTTTTTTTATATGTAGAATGCGATGAAAAGACTTGAACATTTAAAATCATGTTTTATATCACATTTGTGGTAAACTTAAGATAAGAATTTATTTCAAGTTTATAAAATTCCTTTTAATACTGTATTTTAGTTATAATGAATAAGGAGGGTTGTTTTATTTTATTAATTTATATTATTTAGAGACAGAGTCTTGCTGTGATCCCCAGACTGGAGTGCTGTGACGTGATCATAACTTACTGTAACCTACAACTCCCAGGCTCAAGAGATCCTCCTGCCTCAGCCTCTTGAGTAGCTAGGACTAAAGAGGCATGCCATCATGTCAAGATAATTAGAAAAAAAATTTTTTTTAAAGATGGGGTCTTGTTATGCTGCCCAGGCTGATCTCAAACTCTTGACCTCAAGCAATCCTACTGCTTCAGCCTCACAAAGTGCTGGGATTATACGTGGTGAGCCACTATGTCTGGCTGTTATTTTATTTTTATCTTTTTTCACGCCTCAAAATTTTAATAAACATGATTCTAGTAAGATATATATATATATAAATGCAGTCCATATCAAGTCAGTAATTGAACACCAAAGGAAGAAGCTATAGCTTACAAACCAAATATCCCTAACATAAGAATCAAACTCTAAGTTAATTGAAACATTTTTAGACTTTTTCTGAGAAAATTTTCAAATAGAACATATATTGAACTGTAACGAGAAGTGATTCCAGTTGTGCAATTTTGTATTTTAGAGAGTTGGCCATTCTAATCCTCTTGACTCTAGCCAAGAAACTTATTTATAGATTACTTCTGCCTACTTGAGCTCTATTTATTAATACATTACTCTCACTACTTAATTTACCTAGATCCTTTTTCTTGTTACCTGCATTAACATTAGATTTTTCATTCACACATACATTTTAATGTGAAAATATATCTATGTGAACTCAAATGTCTCCAAAAGATATATTTAATAAGATAGAAAAACCTTGGTCATGCATGGTGGCTCAGACTGTAATCCCAGCACTTTGGGAGGCCGAGGCAGGATGGATCACCTGAGGTTAGGAGTTTGGGACCAGCTTGGCCAACATACTGAAACCCTGTGTCTACTAAAAATACCAAAATTAGCTAGACATGGCAACACATGCCTGTAGTCTCAGCTACTAAGGGAGCTGTGACTTGAGAATCACTTGAACCTGGGAAGCAGAGGCTGCCATGAGTCAAGATTGCATCACTGCACTCCAGCCTGAGCAAGAGAGTGAGATTCCATCAAAAAAAAAAAAAAGAAAGAAAGAAAGAAAGAAAAGCCCAAATCCTGTCTGGTGCAACTGCATTTGTTTTCAATAACAAGGTGCTGCAATTTTGTGTCTTGAGTCCAAATAAAAAAGTAATGAAGACCCCATTCAGACTTATGTCTTTGTGTGAGGCCCAATACTCAGTAATATGTACATTTATTTATATTTAGTTTCTTTTGTTTACCAAATTATACAATTCAACAAGAGGCAGTTCTTCACTAATCAACAAATAACTTGAATACCTTGGCAAAGAAAAATTATTCAGATGGCAAAGAAAGAAACAAATACAAGTGGGATTCAAATTTTGATTTCATAATTTGGGAAATAAGTAATCAATAAACCTAACTAATAAACCACACAATCACTGATTTGCATACTTGAACACCAAAGAGAAAGATCTTTTATGAGAAAGTAGATTCATGTTTTGGGAGGGGTGGGCGGAGATGGAGTCACTTTCTGTCATCAGGCTGGAGTGCAGTGGTATGATCTCGGCTCACTGCGGCCTCTGCCTCCCGGGTTCAAGCAATTCTTCTGACTCAGACTCCCGAGTAGCTGTGACTACAGAGGCCCACCACTGAGCCTGGCTAATTTTTGTATTTTTAGTAGAAACGGGGTTTCACTGTGTTGGCCAGTCTTGTCTCAAACTCCTGAGGTTAGGTGATCCACCACCTTGGCCTCCCAAAGTGCTAGGATTACAGGCCTGAGCCACCATGCCTGGCCGGTAATGAATGTTCAAATGTTGATAAATATCAAGGTGGGAAATTGACATCTTTTAGTATATTTTGGAATGTTTTTATGCTATTAACACTTCAAAAAAATCTCATAAAGATTGGGGTGTGTGCATGTGTGTGTGTGTGTGTGTGTGTGTGTATGTGTGTGTGTGTGTGTGTGTATTCAAAATCCGCGTATTAGAAAATTGCAAAGATTCTATGTCCTTCCTGGACAGGTGAGTTGGATTCCAAACCCTTAAGTATAGAATCCACTAGGAATGCCATGTGGCCATGCTTCATTCATTCCATCTCTAAAAATAGAGTTCTGTTCCAGAGAACAAATTCTTTCATGTTACAAGTTCTGAAAAATGTAACCTCTCTGAATCACTTGATACAGATTTTCCCTCAATGTCTACATTGGTAATTTTAATATTTAGAGAAGTACTGGTAAACTTCTTTTAAACAAATAACTACTTTTTAAATATATTTAAATTTTGACTTGAGAGTTTCACCCAAAAAGGTATAGAGCTCCACATACATTGCATACTTTACTGTGTATACTACATTGAAAACAGAAGAAATAAAATCAGTGTGAATATTGTTTTAATTGAACTATTTTAAGGAATTTATTAAGAATATGAAAAATATACGAATTACTTGGCAATTTTTCAGTTATAACTAAGTAGCTTATTAAAGGAACAAGACAGTTAAACAAAACTAACATTGCAAAATGAAAAAAGTGTGTTTTTAAAGTTTGGTGTTTATAGAGATCACTTAACTATAGAATGAAGCACAGCATTAAAACCAATGAATCTATTTAAAAGAATAAAGTACCTTTTGGTCATTGATATTTTTAAATAATCCATTCCTATAATATTAACATGTGGAAAATTACTGCTGCATATGTTTAAATACATTGAATTATATGTACCTTAAATGCAAAAGAAGTTGAATTAATCCTTTTAAAATCTGGAAGAAAGAGGAATCCATAGAGTAGCTATGCTAAAAACAAGAGGCCTTAGGTAAATAGGAATTTAATAATATAGATAAAAGCAAGTGTTTTGAAAAAAAACATTAGTCTGGTTTGTCACCATGCTAATGTTTAGAAAATCTGACTCTCATAAGATCACATGCATAAGACAAAAGGATAAGGGGGAACTGAAATGTGAAGGACTAGAAGTAATATCCCTGTGCTTTATCTGTGACTGCAAGACAGTGATTGCTAAAGAGTAAGGGCAAGCAAATATTTATAATTTTGATGAGACAGGCTAAACTGAAGAAAATTTCTGCAGATCCAGTAAGCTCAGTAGGTCTTTGTATCAAGCATCACTGTATCAATTACAGTGATAAACAATCATTTAAGTCCCCAAAACCTTCAACTGTAGTATCTGTTTAAAAATCGGGGTATGGGAAGTGAAAAGATAGAAGTCATCAGTTTTTGAAGCTAGAAAATTAATCTCAGATCGATTTATTTCATCTTCATTGTGAAACTCAAAGCATGGGGAACTATCCGATCTAAAGCACTGTTTTATTGCTTAAAACAATTCTTGGAGTTTTAAAAATGTGCTATCCGTTTAGTTTCCCCTAAATTAAGTATTCCGCTATTTCTACTTCTAATAGGAACTATGTACAAATATCATGTGTTATAGTAAATGTTTTCATTGTTATCTGGTGAATTATTTTCCCCTTCCAGTAGCTTACTTGGCAAGACTGATGTTCTAGTGAGAGCTCATTAATGCATTATTTGGTCATATTATAAACCCTGAGATAGTAATCCATGTCATTTATACATTCATGATTTCACTAAAGACTGAGATAGGCACAGGATAAAACTTTACTGAAACGAAAATCACTGTGTTTAAGTCAAGTGTGTAATAATGTGAAAGTACCAAAATAGCGAGGCTGGCAGTAAGTGACAAGTACAGACTCTTTAAATGCCTCCATGTTTAGGCTTACCAAGAAGCACCATACATGAAGCATATCAAGTTTCATAATGGGGTGAAACCAAGGCAACAGTTGAATTCAGATGTAATTTTCCCCTGTGGCTTAATTCTTTTTTAAGTTGATTATAACTGTGACATTTTTTTGAAGCACTGAGTATAGGTCATTGCCTAAGGCAGCCTAGTGACGTTGAGAGATGTACCATTATTGTGTTCCTTTGAGAAAATGATTTCGACAGGTACAAAAATACCCTTCACATTCTGGCTTCCTCAGCACATCAGACAAATGGTTAAGTTAAACCAGTTCAACATATATGGGAGAGGAGGGAGGCAAACAGGGTAGGAAATGAATGAGATTTTATCAGAGAACCCAAATTTATGCATTCCTGAAACCCTGCTGCCAGGAGAAATTATTTTCTTGTCCCATTAGCATTCAGAATGTTCTGCAACAATAAATACCTATATTATAAAACTCGTCCAATTTAAAAACTGAAGTTGGGTGGGAGAGAAAGGAAACAAGGAATAGTGCTTGCACAGTTTGTATGGAAGGCTCTATAAATCTTGGAAGCAGGTTTCCTCATTCTTATATTTCTCTTAATACATTTTCTTATCTACTTCACCAGTTTTTTGAATTTAAGCATTTTTAACTTTATAAAGATTAGAATTAAGCATTTTCAGTGTGCTTAACATTAAAGAGCTTTACAGTGAGTTACTTTAGAAATATTTTCAGGGAATCAATATAGCATATCTTCCTCCCTTTATCAACTCAAGGCAGAATGATGAGACTGCAAATATTGTCTTTATTTAAATGGCTATCAGTCATCAATTTTTAGTAAAGTGCAAATGATGGCACAAACTTGTATTTTATTTTGGTGCATATACTTAGTGATTTTTAGGTGAAATCATTAAAACGTATTTACGGATGAAAGCAGTTATAAACTGACAGCATGGTAATGAAATTATGCTAAAGTACATTAGAGTAGCAATGTTTCTGTTACTAAGCTGTAGAAATAGGGATGTGCTAGGTAAGTTAAAAACAGTTTGTTTAATCAAGTTTATCAATAGACTATTAATCAAATCTACTGTCGTAAATATTACTTACAGTTTTAAGAAAATCTATATGTGCTTTGTAATTAACTTATACATTTTAGATTATTCCTAATAATACTCCAAATTGTTGACAAGTACATTGCTTATTGCCTGGTTTCTTTTCTAAACAATGCCCAAGGATGAGTTGGAGTTTTTGAGTGATTTGCTCTTGATATGATATTTTATAAACATCTGAAGTATATTAGGATACTATAATCAAATTATCTTTACAAAGGATAAATATCATACAGAAATTCAAGTATACAAAAGTTAAAGCTGGCTTAAAGAGTAGCACATTTTGTTTTTTTTTCAATTTTTAAGATGAATTGAGTGAGAATATTATAAATAAATACATTTAAAATGAAAATGTAATCTCTCAAGTGCTGTATATAGGCATGAACAAAGAACTATCACTTTCACATAAAAGCTTAGGAAATAATAAAATACATGTTCCATCTTCTATGCTATTAAATATTCTAGTGTTTAAACAATTGACATAAATATAAAATATGTTTGCTTTTACCTAGTTCAGTATTTATAAAAATGTCACTCTGGTAACTTTTTAATTTTTTGGTTCTGAAGTCACAAAGTGAATGCCTATCTGTTATCAGACATTACCAAGTGCATATCTCTAGATTTAACAAGAGTAGAAAAGGGGCCTTTTGATAAAAAAAATTCATCCCCATAATGAAACAAACACATACAAACCAAAAAAATCTCTATTGTTCCAAAGGAAGGTCAAAGGGACATATAATGCAATTATATCTATATATAATGCAATTATACATGAATCTATATATGTAATGCAATTATATCAGTTTGAAAATTTTTGTCTGCAAAGGAGAGAAATCAGCACAAACTAAATGCCATATAATGTCCTAGAGAGGTGCCTAGAACTGAAAAGTTCTTGCTGTTATTATCTTGTGAGAAACCAAATATGTTGCTGTGAAGTCCATTGTTACAGGATAGATCATAGAATAATATGACTCACATAAGTAGTGTAATCTGCAATTAAGGTTTTGTGTTTCAAATGCAGCAAATTGCAGGTATCTTCAAAAGTTAAGTTATTATTTTTATGCTCTCAGCCCAAACACATATATAATTCCAATCTTGTCAGATCCAGTATTATCATATCAACCTTAGAATGTTTTGGATAAATTATGTTATAAAGTTGTTTTAATTACCTTTTCATTGTTACTATTCCTTAGGGAGTGTTTCTCTTGCAATATGAATAAGTCAATTAGCTTTTGCAAATTCAAGTGATTATAAAACCAGTTAGAAGTATTACCCTTAAACATAGCTATTAACCATTGTGTTTGTAAACCTTATAATAGCTGAAGCCACTGATAAAATTATTGGAAAAATTGCCTGAATTTCAAAATGATAAACATTTTATTGTTCGTTTTTCCCTTAACTTACTCTGAAAAATTCTTTTGTTGACCCTGAATCCAGTGTTCCATAGGCAATTTCTGTTTGTTTGGCTAGGTCTTCTGCACTTTCTATGGGAGAGACCATTCGCTCAACCGTCAGGAAAGCAGCGAGGTTAGCAGTATAAGACGATATAATGATGAGTGTAAAGAACCACCAAACACCTCCAACAATTCGACCTGAGAGGGATCTAAACATGGATAAGATAATGCACATTTTCCTTTCTCTAACACAGAGAAAGAAAAGAAATACCATAATTCACCATGCATATTTAAAAATAACAATTGCAGGTATTGTTTTATTTTCTGAGCATCTGCTCAAGAATGATTCTAGATTTCTGCATAATCTGATGCCTTCTATGGCATATTTAATATATAAATGCCACAGAAAATATGACAACCATTTCTTTCTTATTGTTTAAAGAAAATGGTAGAAATGTAGAACTTAATGCTTTTCTTCAGCTACACAAGGGGAATACTTCATTGAATTCATTAATACTCTCCTACCCTAATTTTTTAGCATCTCTGAAATTATGATGCAGCCTATGACTGATAAGATAAAATATGGTATCATGGTTTAATTGGCAGCATTATTTCTCTCTTCGTGGCACATAAAGTACCAATACATAGGAACAGTGACTGAGGTTTTAGATTTGATGCAAGTTGGTAGATACCTTACTGAGACTAAAAGAGAGAACTTGTTTTTACCTTTAGTCAGAGCCCTGCCGGGACAATGGGACATAGGCCAAGGTGAGATTGGACTCCATGAGGGTCTAGAATTGGTCTCAAAGTGACCATAGTTGAGATTTTTGTTTGTTTGTTTGCTTGATATTCAATTCCTGAGTTGAGTGAAGGTTAAGCCATGTCTCAGAGAATCTTTACACACTGGTATAATGATTTTCTCTCTTCACACTTTCTTTGGTATCAAGGATGTGTGGGCGAGTATGAAAGCAGAGCAAATGTGAGAAGGGAGTGAGGAAAAAAAATGCAGAGAATGTTCATCATTGAACTCATTTATTGTAATCATCAAACTACTTAAAATTCCTGTGGCAAATTGTTGTAAAACATTTGTCTTAAAACTTAAAGAATGATTTCATATTTTTCATGGCATTTCTAAAATTAAAATATTTCCTTATTATAATATTTGTTATTATAAAACAGACACCTCTTGGGTTTAACTTAATATTTGCTTAATCCTGGCTTTTAAAAACCATTACTTGATTTACTTTGATTTCTTTTTAGTTCATTAATTGAAAGTTTTTTATTCAGATTCCTATGTTATTGGAATTTAAACATATTTATAATTTAGGTCTTAAGAAACACAAAGTGCATTGTGCCCAAAATGCCTCTTTTTGAGAAAGTACACAATTCTAAAAAAAAAAAAACATATTTGTGGTGCTAATATATAGTCAACAATTAAAGTAAGTATTTTTCTTCTCATACCTTCAACTACTACTTTCTCTATGGGAAAAATCATTTACTGAAAAAGAAGATTGCATTTTTGGTGAATATAGTGGCTAAATAATATCTTAGTGGTATCCAAAGGAAGGGAGCCATGACTCCACAGATATTGAACTAGATTTCCATAAAACTAGCGTACTGTTTGCACTGTTGGCTTTTTGCCTATTGCTTAGATAATTTATGCATTGCTATATAAAACAATGTATATCTGGTACCTACTATGTTGACTCAGGTTCTAGGTAATTCCATGGCAGAAATGTCCCTTAAGCTACATGAGATGAGAATTAAGTCCAACATTAATTTTTGAAAATGAACAACAATAATAGCAAAAAATAGCAATAATAGCAAAAGTGTTTGTTTTATAAAAGGAAACAAAATGAAAATGAATTCGTATTCTGCAATTTAGATTTCAGTTTTCATTTATCAAACCAGTGAATGAAATACTAATACTAAATGATTTTTGAGAGTTCTGATGGAATGCATAGTTTCTTTGCTATTGAGAAAGTTAATGTTTATGATATATCCACATTTTGTGCTAACTTGAAAGAAATTGCTATTTGGGAATTGCAAGTCTTTTCTGTTTCAAATAGTCCTCTGTCTTCAGGAAAAGTAGAGAGAGAATCTGCACAACATTTAGAATTACTGGGAAATTGGTGAGGAACTTAAGAGATCTGTAACTAACCTGGGTGAAATGTCACATCCTTGCTGCATGAAAGCACCCAGGGAAAACCAGAGGCTGTTAAAGATGCCAAACTCATTGGGAGGCTGGTCGCTGGGTCCTTCCTTTCCATCCTCTGGCTCTTCTGTGTGCCACTCATATGGACTAAATCTACTAACTAGGAATAAGACCACGCTGACACCAATGTAGGCAAAGACTATGCACATCCAAATCTCATAGGCCAGAGGATCCAAGAAGGAAAACACTCCTGGTTTGGATTTCTGAGGCTTTTTGATCATGATAGATATGCCCAAGCTCATGAAGGGCTTAGAAAAGTCAATGACCTCCTCTCGTACCAAAGTGATTGTCAGAGGGGCAATAGCAATCTCTGCTTTCTATAAGAGAAAAAACACATGGAGACATAGGTTAACGGATTTCATGAAGCAATTAGCACTGGAGTGGTCCATTTAAAGCTAATCAGTCATGCATTTATTCTACATTTATTTTTGGAGTGCCGACAATGAATAAGGCTAGTGATAGATACAAAAATGAATAGCAATTTTTTCATAAATTATTACTTAAATAGCACAAAACATTTTTATTGGATTCAGTAATTAAATAAAAGGGTAGGAAACAGAAAGAGTGGATAAGCAAAAATAACTTGAACTCAAATTATTGTATTAGTCTTTAAGGATCTGGGCAGTGCAGAGACTTGATAGTCTTTCCATATGGCTGAATTTCTGAGTTTCCTGGCCAGGAATGCTGCTGTGTTGCAGTCTTTTCTGTTTTATTTGGAACATTGCCACTGATTCATTACTTGGCCATCCCTTAATATTATGAATTGCAAATTTCAAACAGTCTTTCGTTTTTCATTCCTTTCCAGGTATGAGAAAACAGATCATAAAGCCTGTGCTTGTATGATAAAAGGAAATCTGTTGTTTGACAATATTTTCCAATTCAGCACACACACAGAAATCTGGAAATTGGCATTTATTTCTTGCTATTCACATATTTTGATTTCTCAATCTTCATTTTATAAAAAGATTTTAAAAAACAGTAGATTCATTTCTAAGATATTATAATAATAAGATAGCTTCCATTTTTAGAGTTCTGTAATTTTGAACAATTTTTCTTAGCTTGTTTCTATAACTGTAAAATAAGAATACTTCCCCCCACTTTACCTCATAAAGTTATTATAATTATTTATTGGAAACCTTAATAAGGTAATAGTGAGCATTTATTGAGGGATTCTGTGGCTGATGCTGATGTGATGCTGATCTAAATATTTTGAATAGCTTCTCTTTTAGTCCTCATAAGCATCATATGTTTATCATTGTCTAGATGATGAAACTGAGACTAGAGAAGGGAGATTTACAGATCGTGGCAGCTCTGGGATTTGAGCCTGGAATGCTTCTGTTATATCACCACCACCACTAAAATAAAGTGAAATAAGGTGTAGAGTGTAAAATCACACCACCTATAAAATCAAATGAAATCAGGTGTAGTGTAAAAATTAAACTGTCACATGATCTACAAATAAAAGGCAGTTTTGATTATTTACTTTAAAAGGAAAATATTTGACATTAAGATGGCATCAGAAACATACTCAGATATATAAATTCTTACACAGAGGCTGCAACTCTTACTTTGACTCCTACATTTCCTCAGGCTCTATACAGTGGCCAGGGACTTGATACAAGGGCAACTGGAGAGTTAGAATGGGGAAGATACATTTTAGTCACATGTCCCTGTGTGACTGAGAGTTGATCACATATACCTTCAAAAGGCAATACACTTTTTTCACATCATAAATGCCCATGTATACAAGAGTTAGACCATTGCTGGAAGGTTATTATTTTCCCTATAGTTATAATTACATGTATAATTTTTGTTACATAAGTGATATGTGAACTCACTGTAGAAAAATTAGTGTATTTTCATTATTTTATTAGTATGACCCAGCCCATTAGGAAACGTTATTTTTATTTCCATCCTCTACTCTTGTTTGTTCTTTCCATATACTCTGAAAGACTTTGTTCTATGAAGAATATTTTAAAATTCTTTTTAAAAAGAATTTAAAAACATTATAGAACAAAAAATTGTAAGATATAATGTTCTAAATATTCACTTGTATTTTCCATATATGTTGCAATATTTTTCCCTATTCATTTCTCTTCTCAAATGATATAATGAACATTTTTCCATTTCAGTATATAAGTTAAAAGTAAGTTGTAATGATTGCAAATGCTTTATTGGAAAAATGTCAAAAGGTACTCCACCATTTTTTACTTTTGCGGGATATTCGTACTGTTTCCACTTTTACAAAATTTAAAACAGTGATGCTATGAACATCTTTGAGGACAAATCTTAGCACGTTTTATTTATTTAAGATAAATTTCTAGAAATGGAATTGCTGGTCTAAACAGTAATAATCTTTTTAATGCTCATAATATGCTTTGCCCAACTTTTCTTCAGAAAGTTTATGCAAATTTCTACTGTCCCCTGCACTATGTAAAGGCATGTTTAGCCTTAAACCTCAGAAAAGCCCTGTGTATCTTTACTTGTCTTCACCAATTTTCTGGAAGGAAATTAGATCTCCTTGTGCTAATTAGAATTTGTTTTAATAAAACAAATAGCTACTTGTTCTTTTATGTATTACTACCATAATATGCCCCCACTTTTCCATATTGAATACTCATTTTTTATTTCCTAATTTGTAAGCCTTTTAAAGTATATTTAGAATATTCACTTGTATTTTCCATATATGTTGCAATATTTTTCCCTATTCATCAATCGTTCTGTTTCCATTACTTAATTCAAGGTTTTTTTCTTGTAATACATAGGTTTAAAATTTTGTTGTAGCCATATAAAATTATTTTTTTTTGTGTGTGTTTCCAGCCTTTGGTTTCATGTTTTAGAAAAATCCTTCTCCTATCAATATTATATATTTCATTCCAGTAACCATAATTCTCCTATCATTTTTTGGTATTTTCCATGATGAAGCATTAGAAAATTGCTAATTTTCCAAGTAGTTGCCCTCCTGTACCAACAGAAATAAATAAATAACACCTCTTTTCACTTACTTAAAATATCCCATTTCATATACTACATTGTTCTGTGAGGTAGCTTCTGAAATTTTTTATTTATACAAGTTCCCAATAGTGAGGGAAGAAGCCTTAAAAAGAAAGACACATGAAGAGAAATGCAGGTGTTTTCTGAACTGAAAACTAAGTGCTATAGAAAGCGAACATTGGATGAAGGTGATGACATCCATTTCCAATGAGGGACACTTTCAAGAAGTTACAGCTGTGTGAAAGTCTAGAAAAAGACTAGGAGAGATAGAGATAGACTACACATGGACTTCCTCTGCCAACATCAGGGATATTGCATTGCATTGTTTCATTTTGTAATGCCCAAATTCAGTGTGTAAAATGTCTCCCACAGGTAATTCTGGTGCTAGGGGACTATGGAATGTGCTTTGAGAACTATTCCCTCCGATTAGCACACACACAGACACACACACACACACACACACACACACACCCCAAGTGTGGTAGAGGCCCAGGAGATGACCCTGGAGCAGCACCTGCAGGAAATCAGGATGAACTTGCTTTAGTGCACAGCTATGGTAGCAAAAAGGGCCTGAGAGCGTGAGAGAGGTTCTGGGCTTCTGGCTCCCCACATATGGTATGTTGGATTGCATGTAACTGCTTCACAGACAATCTGCATAACAATTATAGCAACAAAATTTGCAAGGAGTAAAGTAAGAAAATATTATTAATCCAAAGTTAACAATTTTGCAGAGTTAATAATTTAGACACAATAGGCTTTGTTCTACAGAAGAGAATGGATTTAGTTTTACCTAGGGCCCTGGAAATAGGGCACTCATATGTATTAGCAGTAGGAAAAAAAAAAAAACCAACAACATAAAACAAAAACAAAACAAAACAAAACAAAAAACAAACCATGTTGAGAAACAAGTATAGACTTTGCAGACATCAAAATGGAAAGTATCTAGACTGTGGAATGTCTAAGTCATGGAAGAAGACTCCTTTTGGGAAAAAGTAGACAACTCAAGCATCAGAGACTGGAGTCTTTAACCACTTGCAGACTGGTTGAGTAATGAATATGATGACATTAATAACCATTATGTTATCTTTTGTTTCTCTGAGAACTGCATAACTTTGGGACTTCTTGTTATTGTGACAAGTATAGGACTGATGTAACTTTTTTGCTAATTATGCTACTACCTTCATATCCTTTGTTTTCACTATTTAAACAACTTCCCTTGAATGAAATGTGGTCAGACACTTGCAAAAGAGTGAGTCTGGGCTGCCCTGTGGGTAGGGACTCCAGAGAAGAGATGTGTAACAAATACCTCAGAAAATAACTCATGTCAGCTATGTTGTGTATAACTAGATGGTAATCCAAGTGTGATTTTTTGAGATGAAATATGCAAGAGTATTTTCTGAAAAAAATGAATTACAGTAGTTCTAACCATTTGGATAATGTTAATGTCTAAGATATGCTTACTGTATCAAAAGTTTAAAATATTACCAAAGAACAAATGCTTTTGAAACCCTTTTTCTTTGGAATTTGAAGCTCAATATAAAACTGTTGATAAACTCTGTGGTAAAATACATTTTGCTATTTATTAAAACTGCATTTTTTTTTTCTCATTTAGGGTCACCTAAGCAGTCAGCAGTTCTTTCCCATGGATATAAAACTAACCAATTGCTTCATAATGTCAAGCAATTTCCTCATTTTGCAGAGGTTTTAGCTACTTTACTGTATACTGTGCAAAGAATGTTCATTGCTTCATGGTCTAAAAGGCAAGATGCAGAATGATGAAACTGTTGAATTGCAGTTCTGGCTTGGAATGTGAGTTTCTCCTAGGACTTCAGTTATGTTTTAAATCTTTCTATCTTTATTGTTTTCTGAAGAAAAATGACTCTCTACGTAATTCCCCATTTCAAAGGGGTCTTGTGAGGATTAATCAGACTACATTTTGAAGGTGAAATATAAATTGGCTCTTAGGACATTTCATATTGCATTTCAAGTATATGTTACTTTATCGGTTACTTGATCATTAGAGTTTCCTATGAGCTATAGATTTGATTTCTGGACTTCTGAAATATTATGCCATCGCTAGCATGTGATAATTCCCGTTTGATTTTGACATTTTGCAGTGGTAGCTGAAGACATTGATCTTGATATTGCTATGATTCAGGGAGAAACATTTATGCTGGATTTGCCCTCAGGTATGAATGTGTATACCCAGTATCAAGTACACTTGAGGGAGGCGCATAACATGCTTTCATGTGAGGCCCATTTTGGAATAAATTCTAGCATTTGTGTTTTGCTATGTATACTAGTATAAAAAATGATGGATGGCACTGCATAAAGTTTAAATTTACTGTGTTTGGCAGAATTGTAAGAATCTGACATTATTGATGAATATTTAATAGAGGCTAAAGTGGCATAGTGATTGCCTAACCAATTACTTAAAAGATGAATAATTACAAACAACAGAGGTATAAATAACTATCTAAAATAATGTCCAACTTTACATTGTTTAAGGAAATCTTTTCCTACAGTTATCAAATAACAGATTACTATTAGATTTATTTTGTAGTGCTATATACAGTAGCATCAAACTTAAAAGAATAATCACTCCAGATCTTAAAGTCAATTAAAAAAACTAGGACTGCATATTCTGAATTTTTATCTTCTTTCTGATTTTGATCTTATCAAGTGTCAGTTTCTCTCATTGTTTGTGTATTGCATTATTAATGAAATGAAATAGAAAAAGATTTGAACATTGTATATGCCTCTTGGAATGTAGCTGCAAATTTTAAAAACAGTAATAGACGTTTAAAAATTGTTATGTGCCCAAGGGAAAAGAAGTTTCAGGTATATGTAAGTAAATTCTTCAATAAGTTGATTTGCTTACCCCATAAACAAGTTCTCCTACCATCCCATTCCAGATTTTTGTGTCTGCATCCCTTGCTCCATATTTTCCATCAGGGACAATGGCAATTTTATACTTGATACCAATATGTTTTGCAATTTCAGATGCCAAATCTACACAGTATCCTTCATACTTGTCATTTCCTTCAAACATTTCATGATTTTTCTTGTACATAACATATGGGGATTCCTATAATGAGAGAAGTAGAACTGTAAAGGAGAAATTATAAAACAATTGAAAAATCTTATGTAACTTTCCAATTTCAGAATTTGACATAAAGATTATATTTAGTATTAGTACACATACTGATTTTGTGTAGTTAGAAATCAATAATAAAACAGATGATAAATATAATTAGAAATCAATAATAAAACAGCTTATATAAATAAGCTTAGAAGATATTAAATTGCTTTGCACTGGATATGAAAATTGAAATATTAAATTTTCTATTGGAATAAGTATGAAAAACCTAGCACTATGACTGTGATAGGAGAAGTGTCAGTTAATAATTATCTAGAAGAGCATAAATTATTTTCTTTGACAATGAAATTAGTATTTCTAAAATATTTCATGAAATTAAAGACTATTCAGTAGTCAGTGTCACCTAATGAAAACTAATTCAAGGTCATAGGTTTCCATCTTCTGCATCTTATTTAACCACATTCAACTGTGACTTTCTTTAAGGAAAAGGCTACATCATTTTTCTTTGATGTCTAGTGTTTAGCAAGATGCCTTTCTCAGAGCAGGCACTTGATACACTATTTTTCAAAGAAAAAAATGAATTAATAGTTTGAAAATTCTTATATGGTTATTTGCATTAAATTTGCTTTCCTAATGCTGTCCAATATTTTGGCTTTAAATATGGTTTGTGCTCCATGATCTTTAATTGTAATATAAAATATTTCCCTAGTGATGCCAATTTTACTAAAGTTGTAATGAGCACACACTTTAAGTAATATTTCCATTTAGTTTTCTAAGCAAATGAGGCAGAAAATTGATAAATAATTATGGTGAAAATCCTGATAAAATTAAAAAGTTTACCAGTGGCTAATAATTACTGGGCATTTTTCAGTTAAACACACACACACACACACACACACAGACACACACACACACACAGACACACACACACCCTTAAACTGAACCATTAAAAGACATGAACTAAAGAGATATTTTAGCAAAAAGGACTTCATTTTGTAAGTGGTACCTAAAGCCGCTAACCAAAGATAGACCTGGTGAACATGTAATATGGAGAGAGTCCCTGGTCACATCTGAGTTTTTTCAGTCATTTGCAGACAAGGAGTGACCACCTCTGGCTACAACATTATTGAGATAATGTACTCATATTTTGTAAATTATAGTGTAACATTTATTTGTAATCTCTCATAAAAGTCTTTTCTTTTCCCCCCCAAAATTCATAATTGGGGAAGTTGAATTTGCTCTTGGAACTCTAGAAGGTAATTTAGTTCTCATGAATAACATGGCAGCCTACACTACTACTGATTTGGTTTTATAAGTACTTCATAAATGTAGAAACCTCTTTTAAAAATTTAATAAAATGTGAATTACAGGACATTTTATTTTCTCATAGAGATGCTCTAAATAATTCCATAGTGGACAATTGTCCAGGATTTGTCCTTCTAATCCTGCCTTGGATTGGCATGGCCAAACAACCCAGAAGCCTCCAATGCCTCCAACTTTTTTGAATTCAATGAATTAGTTATTATGAACTAATTGTTACATTTTTTTCACAGTAATCTTTTTAAAATATGAAAGAGTATGTAGAAAAAAGCAAGTGTCACATATTTGTAAAATACTTAAATTCAGATTGAAATGGCTGTACAACTATCAACTATGAGTGTAACAGGCTTAAGAACTTTTCAAAAGGGATATAGCTAAGGTTCCATTTGGTACTAAGACTGAAGGTCAATTGAAAAGTCTGCAAAATTTGAACACATGAATTTTTGTACTCAAGTACATATGTTACTTATTAGCTTGTGTGTGCATTTTCTCCAGCTAGTATTTAAAATCTAATTTGCTGCTCTCTACATTATATAAGCAATTTACTTCAATAAAAGCTATGTATTTATTTATTATTTAATCAAACATTTATTAAGCACTGTGTGCCAGGCAGTTTGCTGGGTGATAGGGACACAAAAATAAGTAAAATATGCCCCTTGTTCCCTTGCAATCAAAGTCACTATAGTTTTTTTTTTTGTAATGATGGCAAAGGAGTATAAGGTGGGAGGAACAATAATAAAATACAGTGGTGAAAAACAATGGTAGCTCTTACTTATTAGTGCTTACTATGTATCCAGCACAAAGTAAATTTCTTCATGTCTTTTCATTTACTTTTGACACTGGCACATTGAGATAGGCATTTCCCATTTTGCAGATGGGACAATGAAGACTCAGGGAGGTAAGGCAGTTGTTCAATTTCAGAGTTAACAAGTGAAAGCTGTGGGAGCTGACCCTGTATTTTGATATTTTATTTTGTGTTTGTTTTTGAGAAACAGTCTAGCGCTCTATCACCCAGGCTGGAGTGTAGTAGTGTGATCTCAGCTCAATGCACCCTCCACTTCCCAGGTTCAAGCGATTCTCCTGCCTCAGCCTCCCAATTAGCTAAGATTACAGGCACATGCCACTATGCCCAGCTAATTCTTGTATTTTGAGTAGAGATGGGATTTCACCATGTTTGCCAGGCTGGTCTCAAACTCCTGGCCTCAGGTGATCCACTTGCCTTGGCCTCCTAAAGTGCTAGGATTACAGGTGTGAGCCACTGCACTCGGCCAACCTTATATTTTGAAATAATCTGGAAAATTTTGAAGCTACAGTACTTATCAAACTATGTGCAATTAATTGATTTTCCATATGACTTAATAAAATATCTGTAAATTTTTGAAGCTATTATTGATTTATCAAAATATGTGCCATTAATTGAGATTTCATATGACTTAATGAGAGAGGACAGAGATTAAAGAAATGTATTTCTGCATTTTTATGAAATTCATTTAATGAAATTCTTCACATAATCTAGGTAAACAGTGTAGATAAAGCCTTTCAATTTCTTCTCCTAGTGTCTGGCATATAGAAGGCACTAAATAAATACAAAGATAACCTGGCCTATCAGTGTTTCCCAAATAGTGATATCATTATAAAGTAATTTTATTACAAATTCTGGTTCAGGTTTTCTAAAGGAAAGTCAATATTAACAAGGCTTAGGTTATATCTTCTGAACAGACAGGTGTATATTATGAGTAAAATATTTATTTAACGTCTTCTTTCATTTTTTCAGTATTTTCTTTCTTTTTTATTTTGGACAGCAGGGGTCCATCATGTTGTTGTTTTCCTGCTGAGCAAACCAACAAAGTCTAGAAAAGCCTTCAGCTTACTGCAGATGTTGATTAGGAATGTAGTTAGACGTTTTGCCCATCCAGGGGCATAAACAATTACTGAGATTCAGAATGAGTGATGCAGACAGCATAAGAGAAATGACATGATCGCATGCAGAGAAGTGGGGATGTTAAAAGGATAGAAAGGCTTTCCTTAAATGGTCTCTCATGGTTGCTCAGCTCTGCTGTTTCTTTGACTGTGTCACCTATTGCTTTTCTTTTCTTTCATGTCAAATACAAAAGAGTAGCAAATGCTCATCATTCGCCCAACCTCCTCATTTCCTCCATGCTCAGTCTGACAAATTGTCTGCAACTAGCTCTTCAAATACTTCATACTAGAGTTAATACAAAGTTTAGGGGCTGCTATGGGTGAAGAAAATACAAAATCTTTTCAATATAATGAATAAATTCTGGTAAATCATTAAGGAGGACATGTGGGGTGTCTTTTTAAAACAGCCTTATGAATTCCCAAGTGTTTGATTTTGAATAAAAACGGAACGATCAGAAGGTTAGAGTAACCTCTTATTTCTCTTATGTATACAACCTGCCACGATTATTATCAACTACTGAGCTCCGTAGGATGGTAATTTCTTAAAAGTTATTGCATTATTACTTAGTGAATGTGAGTTTTATATTAAGAGTTTCTCTAATGAATGGGCTTCTACATCTGCTCTGCTATTTTAGGAAAGAAATTACTGTTTAAAGCTGCTACATTAGGGCTTGTTTATTAAAGTATTTGTGTAACTTAATTAAGAAGATTTTTAATCAATAATGTATAATTTTCCTACCAAGGATTTTTTTTTTGATTATTTGTAAAGTAGAACTATTGAAACAAAATACTTGTTAGAAAGGTTTCAATATTTTCTAAATATTACAAATATAATTATTACAATTATTATTGAAAATTGTTAAAATAATAAGATCAGTGTCAACCAATGTTGTTTTCTATGTGAATATTTGGTTTTCTCCAAAAAATACTAATGAATGTACATAATTTATCCCATGGATAAAATTCATAAAAGTGAAGATTAAGATATCATTATTTAATTCAGGAAAAAATGAGTAAATCTAAAGGCTGCACAACTTTAAATTTAGTCAGAATAATTTACTTAAAATTAATTGATTTATAAGCTCTTCAGTGAGTGATGTATGTGAAAGAGGAAAATTAATATTTGGTATAAGGAAGAAAATAAATACATTTTAATTTTCTGTATGTATGTATATATACATATAATACATTTTATATAAAGATGAATGTGTACGTTATTATAATGCACATATATGTATAGTGCCTCTACAGAATTATACATAGAGGAGATAAAATATCAAACATCTCACTAAAATGTACAAAAAGTAACCTCTGGAAAGATCATATGTGATAAGGATAATTGCTTTTAGATTTGTAACATAATTCTGATACTGGAGTGAATAAATTTGGTTTTATGGAAAATTTGCCTAAAGGATTGTTATGTTCATGAGATGGTAAGAAATATCTTTGTAGTTAAGCAATGCATCATAAGCATCACTTAACTTTGGTAGTAAAACTTTGGGGAAAATAAAGGAGTTTGTCTGAAACATCACTGTATTATCTTCCCTTTTCCAGAGCATTCAATAGCCAAGAAAGTAGCATGATTATAGAGGAAAACATCACCCTCCCTTGTAACAAGATCTACTGTAAACTGCTTTTCCCTCAATTGCTATATTTATCCAAACCACATGGAACAGATTTGGCTTCTTTGGGTTATTTGCAGAAATTATTACTTTTAATTCAGAAAGTTAAATCGATATGGTCACAGTCTTATGAATTTTATTGATTTTATAAATTTTTCAGTCAACAAGACTTAAAGATAAAAATGATCGTATTAATTTTATTTTCTATTAGATTTAGCTGTGATATATTCAGGATGATTATATTCAGGTAGAATAAATTTATTATTAAAATGAAAATCACATTATAGCTATATAACACTCTTATAAGAAAAAATAACTTTCAACAGCATAAAAAGCTAATGCTACATTATATTTAATAAAGACAACTAATATAATTATTACTTATGTTTCTGGTCTGCTTTCTCTCAATAAACCATAAGTTTCACTTAGTGCAGAATTTTTGTCTGTGACATATTCCCAGGGCCTAGAACTGTGCCTAGCACAAAGCAGACGCTCAATAAATATTTATGAATAACTGAATTTCTCAATCAATTTTATTTAGCAATAGCATATAGTGTTACAGTGTATCAACATATAAATAACAACATACACAAAGGACAGACAACTGGAGGAACATTAACACCATATCAATTTCAATCAAAATGAATTATATCCAGTGCTCACTCTCAGCCTTCTTCTGTATCTAGATACAGGTATCACATATATTAAAATATCTAGCCAATTCCATCTGTGTTGGGAGTTTTCAATTGAATTTGGGGATAATTACATGCAGATGCCAACATCTTGTTTATTCACAAGAGATTTCTTTCATAATGAATGAAGTGGAGGGATGTCTTAAGTCCTGGACTACCATTTTCAACAAAAGCAAATAGAAGGAACACTTTCAGGGAAAGGATTCTAGTAATTCTTTGTGAATTAATGAATGATTATGCAGTTGCAAATACCAGAGGTATTATTGATATAAAGATTACATTTTCATACAAAAAGACAGATACTAGTATTGTAGTATTTTGATAGCAAAAATATTGATGACTTTACTGTCAAACAACATATAACTTTACAGAATATCCTTTATATATATGTGTATAAAACAGTTGGATTTTTCAGTCATTTTTTACTATTTTTTTGATAGCATGCTTCCTGAAAACTAGCCATGCTTGCAAAATTAATTCAGTATTTTAGTTTTAAGAATTATTTGTCCAGTTCCTTTAGTAACAGGGATGGAAAGGAGATTCTCTATATCATACCTATAATGCACATTAAAACACTTTATTTCACACAGAACAGATAAAATTCCAAGAGATCTTTAAAGAAAACAACTGTATATATTCAGAAAACAGGCACACGAATTCAGAGATATTCACTTATAGAAAATCTACCCTTGGAAATAGAGTGATATAATTCCATCATTTACGTACAGTGACCTCATTTCAATATATGGGAATTGTTATGTCAGAATCGCTAAGTGATTCTTTTTCAACATCTATTTCTCGAGAAAGATTAATTCTTCTTTAGTTCTAGTATCTCAGAAAAGTCACAGAACTTAATTTTTTTTTTCTGGTAGTCCAGAGTTGGTCATCGAAGAAGAATCCCACATGAAAAATAAGCTTAAATTTACTACACTGGAGAACAAGACTTGAGCCTTAGTTAGGAATGGTCGAACAGCGTGGAACTCTTTTCTTTCTTGATCAATTTCTTAAAATAGGATTCTTCATCAGAGGCTGAAAAGAGGAGGACTGTACTGAAGTATGACTTTCCATTACTGTGTCGTTTTTAGGAAAAGAAACATATATGTATTGCTTTTCAAGTCCCATGCAAATAAATATTACACAATTAAGTTGGAAGGCTTACACGAAAACTGCTGTTGGTTGGTTTGCATTCTAAAATCATAAACTTCTGCTGAAAGCTTGTCAGATTACATTAAATTGCTGACTGGTGATGCAACACAGATAAAACTAATTGCAACATGTGAAGGCTTCTCTCTGGCATTTTCATTTCATTTAATATTACTTTATGGAAAAAACTCAACATTACTAAAGACCTGAAACTAAAATGACAAAAGCTAAAAACCAAATTACATAAACACTTCCATTTTATTTAGAGTAAGGGTTCCATAAATGATTTAAAATGTGTTTTGCCTATAGAGTCACTGAGCTGAGTATGTATAATTTTAAATGAGATACAAAAGGTCACCGATTGTTGATCTCTTTTGACTAGCAGTGACTTGAAAGGGCATGTTTGATTTTCAAGAGAAAAATATACAAGATATTCTATTATTTAAAAGGTAATTTCATGAGAATCTCTTTGAAAAAGCAGCCTTAAAATTTAGAGGACTTTTCATTTTGTGATGTGGCTGAATGAAGCAATCACATTCTTCTTAATTTTAGAAGTTCACTAAACTATAATGTGTACTTCTCACTGGTCAATGAGAAAAATAATCGGTGGAAGAAAACCCTTTTCACATTCAAAATAAAAATAAAACAAAATTAATTCCTAAAGCATTTAGTTATATAAATCATACTCATTAAAATCTTCACAGTTACATCTTCACTATTGTAAACAGACAATACAAATCATTATCCGGTGATTAAACTACCTGAAAATTATAATTTTAAACACTATTAATAATTATTACATTGAATTTTTAAAAGCATAGTAACAATAATAATATGTTTACTACTGGATATATTTATGTGATTGGTGGTTGACCTTTGTCATGTTCACTGTTTTGTGCTTTAGGGTCTTAGCATTTCATACATTTCCAGCTAGAGTTAGACAGTCTCAATTTTTAACATCTGAGCATTTTTCCAAGAACAGCAATGTAACAAAAGATAATACAAATAAAAGTACCATACGTACTCAAAGCTTAGGATGAACCTATTCAAAGCCTCTACAGGCTTCTGTGGATCAGAATACCCACGTTACCATTGCTAACAGTCAGCTTTGCCCTCCCTGCTCACCATCGCTGGGGCGTTAAAATTGCCTGTGGACAAAACGGAACACCATAAAGCATAGACCAACACTTACCATAATTGTGGTTACAACCACTGTTCTGTTCTCAATAGCTGCTGTGTCATTGCCAAGAGTGGGGACATCTTGAATCAATACTAACTTATCCATGTCGTTCCAGTAACCAACCTGTCAAATAGAGAACATGCTTGAAAACATATTTTAGAAGCATTTAGTCTAGTTCTTCCTAGAACAATGAAGGGTTTGAATAGGTAAGCAAAGAAAACAAATAAAAAGCAAATGAAAAAATATGTTTGGAAGTGTTCTTATTTGCTCATGAGCCAGTCTGCCAGTTGTTAAGGTTCCAGCCTTGCTACATGTTTGGGAAATTTATTGTGTACAACAGTGGAGTAGCCAAGAGATTGGGAATGGGTGATTCCAAAAGGAATATAAGCATGGAGCATTATTTTATGTGGATCCCCTTCTCTAGTGAGATAGACTAGTGCCCCCTAAATTAATTTGTGTGACTTTATCAGTAAAGTTACAGCTTGTATAGTAAAGGGAATAACCAGATTTATAAGAACATGTACAGGATATTTTCAAGCAAAAGAAGCTTGTACATCTTCAAAGCAAAACGGAAATGGTTTTGGGTTTGATATAAACTAGCCACTAGGTAACAATCTTACCATTTCTGAAATGCTAACTTACATCAGAAATGAATATTAATGGACAATGTTTTCACTTTAAAATATTACATTTAAATTTGTATTTTTTATTTTCAAATTATTAGTTTTTCATTTCATTTCAAATACTTTTTCCTAAAAATGAATTATGTAATTACTTAAGTACTCTGAAAAGTAGTAAACTAAAATGAGCTTTTAATGGAAATTTAGGATTCTTTGGTTGTTGCAGACCATTAAGCAATAATAATGGTTGTTACATATTGAGTGTTTGCCGGAGGCAGACAATATATTCAATGATTTTTAAAAATATGTATCTCAAAGTTAATGCACATATTAAGTATGGAGTAGTGGCAGTTATTTTCCATATTTTAATGATGAGGATTCATTTTAGAAGGCTAAATAAATTAAACAAAGTTATAAGTTAGTAGGGCCAGAATTCAAAACTCAGGTCTACATTACACCAAGTCTGCATACTTTCCTATTATGCTGCACGAACTCCCAAACGGGTGTTCGTTTAATGCTTGACAAACTTCTTTCTTGAATTTCTTGATGCAATTGTTAAAACTTATATCTCTAACAAAATGTATGCATTTGCTCACTGGTCTGTATTCACTATTTGTTCTAATATGTTTTGGAAGTCTCTCTTGCCTAATCCAAGTTTCTTAACTGCCATGTTAGTATTTATGAGCATATTAAAATAGAGTAAGCATTAACATGTCAGAAAGAGGTACTAGATTATTTACAAGTGTTGCATATATAATTCAATAACAGAAAAGATGGAGAAAAATAATTTTTATTAATATGGCTTGCTATACTTCTTGGTTTGATCTAAACATTATAAGTTCAGCAAGTATTTTCAATAGCCCATGTGAATACATTTTGGGTTAACACTTATTAATAATTTTGTGAAAATTTTAATTTAAAATAACTATATATTTGAGACTCACCCTCTTTTCAATTCTTATGCGTACTTTCATCAGCTGATTCTTGTTAACTCTCCTTTCCACATGACAGTTATACAACATGAAAAGGAGTTTTATAGTTTAGCACTCCATTGAAATGCAACCACCCTGAAGATCTCACCAGCTAATTTTCAGGAAAGACAATTTTTCTTTATTAATGAGTTCTACAACAGAAAGAATCACAAATCTGGGATACATTTTGGAGAGTACCTAGATATTGGCAAGACCTTGACATTTTGCATTTAAAAACTAAACTGTGGGTTTGCAGCTATTCTCCTCTTAAAGATAAATGATTCAGAAGTGCTGGCAAATTTAAATAATAAGCAAATTTTAATTTTTTGCCTTATACCTACATATAATTCTGATTAAAAAAACAGAAGGTCATACTTTGTGATATGGGAACAATTCATGGTAGATTTCATGTGGACCATGGATTTTCTTAGAAGTAAGTCCACACAAGGAGTCAGTTCTTAAAGAAAGGAATCTTAAAGTTTGGACCCAGGCCTCACAGAAGATGGAGTTTCTCTCTCCAATCTTCTCAACATTTTGCATTTTACTAAGAACTTTTCCCATGACTGACCTCATTTAACTAGACAAGGAAATGAATATTTTTCCTATAGACAAAAAGTGTGTGAAAAGTGGTTTAGTAATGCTAGAGCAAAAATATGGACGCGTTTAAATCACTAAATTGATAAAGGATGCCAGAAAAATATTTATCTTCTTTGGACTCCTAAAGGTGTCAGAAAAATATTCATTTTCTTTGGACTCCTAAAGGCAAATATAACTATAATAATATATATGAGCAAATGTTTCTGAATTAGGATGGTCTTGGCCTACAACACAGAGATCAGATAAGGACTGAGGGACTGTGAGAAGCTCCTGTTCTACTCAAAGTTAGTTCCTTGGAGAGCTTCTTTGACCAGAACTGCACTGAAAATCTGATCTAATTCCCACACCAGCCTTAAATAGAATCCTTAGAGGCAATGGGACTGATGACGTTTCAAGATCTTGAAACCTGAGTCAAGATCTTGAGTGATGCTCTGGAGCTGCGGGAATTTTGGTTTCTACTGCAGCTCCACCTCTGTCTAGCTGAGCATCTCTGAGTAGGTCACTTAGTTTCTTTGAGCTTTACTTTTGGTTAAAAGGAGAAAAAAATATATATATCTTATTTTTAGGTTGTCACAAGGATTGAATATAAAAATGCACATCAATTTTCCATTACAGCATCTGGCATATATGGTGCTCTCAATAAATAAAATTTTTACAATTAAATATTTCCGAAACCATGCAAGTCTGGAGCATTCCCTCTGGAGCCCTGGGTGGGGGTCACTGTAGTGATAAGAAGATTTTGGTGTACTTAGAAGCCAGGACTTCAGAAAGAGCTTTGTGGCTTCTGCTTAATGAGACTCTCAATCAGTTTTTCTGTTGCAGAAGTCAGACAAACTGATGGGTTGACGCTCTGATCTGTTTTCAAAGATAGCTCCCTTGCTGGCAAGTGTTCAATTTACAAGAATGATTGCTCACTTCTCAGACATATTGCCTAGTTTCACCACCATAGTGTCTCTCATGGTAGCTCATTTTTAAGTTTAATATTCCTGACACAATGCCCGAGTTGATCGTTGCCACGGAAAAACAAAGATAGATGAGTCTACACCACTTTACACTTCAAATTTCTTTTAGGAACCTTAGATGAATGTCAGCTGAGTGTGAAGATGTACTGTTCATCACTCTCCCAACTTACTCCATAAGTTTCTCTTTGAAAAGTCTTAATTTTTGTTACCATCATTGTTCAATAGGCTATGAAAAGATTCAGTACTATGAATCAAGCCCACTTGATATTACTGCTAGTTAGCACCAGCTTTCTTTTTCCACTATTCTTTCTTTTAAAGAGAACAATTTGACATTCTGCACTTACTGTTTTGTAAAGTAAGTCTTTTGCATTTGAAAAAGCTCTGTTTAAATGGCAAATTTTGCAAGGTCTGGTGTGTGGCAAGGAGGTGGGCCAGTCTTACCTTTGTCCACCTGTTAGCCAACATTTTTAGGGGCATGTGGAATATCCTAACTGCTCCACAGCTAGCAGAGATTCTTTGCTTAAAACTTGCCTTTTTTGTTGTTCTTGCTGGCTGTGTTCTGGCAGAGTGGGCTCTTCTTAGTGTCTCCTTCCCTTGCTTCAGTCAATCTCCTTAGAAGAGCCTGGCATGAGGTGTGCCTGAGCCCTCCGGCTGCCATCCATCTCCTGCTACTCCTGATCTGGATCAGATAGGCTCCAGCTTACCATATACTTGCTGGCAGCCTGCATGCATGCTATGCCATTAAGAGGATAGAAAGCTGGAGATGGTTTACATGGCAGCTCCAAATTTCTCACAGATGTAGAAGCACACCCAAATGGCAGACTGGAGCAAAACCTTTGCCATTTTCCTTATATCACCTTAACTTTAACCGTCCTGCCTCCAAGCCTTTCTTCAGGTTGTTGCCCCCTCCATTTCATCCTACCCAAACTCTAACATCATGGCAATTTTAAATTCCACCTCCTCCATGCAGGCTTCCTTTATTTGTTTTCCTCCAGCAGAAGATCATCTCTTCCTAGATAGACCAGTAAGGGACAAAACACTAAGAGTAAAATATGTTTTCTCACTTACAGGCTTTGAATAAGATAACTTATTGTACTAGAATTTTCTCATTTGAAAAAAAGAGAAATAATACTATTCAAATTATAGATTTGTCATGAGGATGGAATCATGCAAAGCACCAAGTCCAGTGCTTAGGACACAGAAGGCATTTCATGAATTGCAGCTATCATTATTACATAAAAGCATGAAAATACATTTTGGAATTTTTTTTTAAACAGCCAAGTGTTGAAAGAAATATGGCTTTTAGATAAAGTGAACTTGAATATCTGTTTCCCTGAGCATCCTAGCTCCTAGATAAAAGGAATGTAAAAAATTATATGTGTTAGCTACAAAACACTTATAACTAATTACTGTGGTGGGCTGAATGGTTACACTGTATAAAATACTTATTGAATGCTGTGAAGACCGTTCCTATACCTAGTCACATCTTACCACTAACAGAGAAATATCTTCCAAAATCCAGGAACCTAGCACCAGCACCTTCCTGAACAACTTAAATGTTTCTCTTCCTCTCAGCCTACTAATAATCTTAATAATCTTACCATCCATCTTCTTTCTCTTTTGGTCATTGGAATTTATCTAGTTGACTAATTTAAGAACACCCAGCCTATTCTAAATATGTTCACCTATTAGAAGTAGTTTTTTGGTACTTGCTGTAATAATAATTTCATAAATGTCTACCTTGAGGTGCTTATGTCTCTTTACTGCTTTGTGTTCTGTTCTGCAGAGCCAATTTTGATTTGAGGGATTTTTTTTTTTTGCTAATCCCACCCAAAATATCACATCCATTTTGGTTAAAGGATATAAACAGTGTATAAATTAGTTTGTTTTGGCTTGGGCACACCAGCAAATATCAGTTATATGACACACATTGATCTCAGCATCGATTATAAAGAAAGTACTAAAGTATTTGTAAGTACTCACAAAGAAAGGAAATGTCCAGTCATCTTTCTTCTCTAGGCCTTTAAAATGCTACATACAAACTAAGTAAACAGAGAATTTTCTTTTTCAGTTTGATTGTGGCTCACCTACCTTTCTAGGTCCTGTGCTTTTCAGCTCAAACACATCCATTGTGTAATTGACTCTACGTCCATAGTGGTCAAACTGAACATTCCCTGTCAGACCTTGAATTCGAACCTAAGTGAAAAAAAAAAAAAAACACGCACATGTTCATTTGCAATTTCACTAATTAGGTATTTGAGCTATTGGGATAGAATCTGAAAGAGGAATATCAAAGAGATATATAAGCAATTCTGCTATACCCCTGGAAGGAGAATATATTTTATTGGTTTCCATTTTTACTAAAAGAATTCTCCCTCAATTATATTTGTATAGGAATAAATTTTTTTACGGTTACTTTTCAGTTTTATCTGTATATCCACAAAATGGATTAAATAGTCCTGACACTTATGCCAGATCATATTCTCACCTTGCTAATATTAAAATTAAGATATAAGAAACAAAAACATATAAGGGAATTTTTGAAAATATTCAAATATATTTTATTCCAAATTTCCAAATTTCCTTTTAATTTGCTTTTACCTATGTTTTGAACCCATGACATTTCAGAATATTTAAAATGTAACATTAAATATGTATATGAACAAGTAGTGTTAGTAAAATTATGAAAGACTAAAATAAACTGATTACTTAATCTAAAGTTACAAAGCAATTTAAAGATCTCCAAATGTAGTCATTATTTCTGGTTCTTCCATGTTCCAGGACCCAGGTGGGCTTATACTTCCTGAACCCCCTGTGGTTAGCTAGGCCCATGCAACTCTTTCTAACATATGAGTTGTAAACAGGCATGACAGGTGTCATTATTAAATCACATAATTTAATTGCCAATTTGAAACTCAACTGTTTCCCTTGGAAGAATTCAAGATGGTCACTGCTCTGTCAGCCTACATCCTCGAGTAATTACAATGAACCTGCTAATCTAGCATGTGTCTGAGTAAGCAAAGTTCCTTTCTTGTTTTAAGTCACTGTGATTTGGGTTGTTTATTACTGCAAAATAGCCTAGCTTATCCTGACTATGCATCCACATAAAATTTTGTAAACAGCAAGATTCTACCTTGTATTTTATCTAGAAATGTCCCAAAAAAGATGGCTTGATATATTTAAGTAGCGATTGTAATATGTATTTGTGCTTGGATAAATTAGTCTGTTTTCTTGAACATTCAACTTAAACAAGACTATGAAATGAATTGAATTTAAATAAAATTGTGAGTTACCTGTTTGAGTGTCCTCTCCATGTCAATTCCCTGGCCCCATGGAGCAGCAGGATTTGCCAGACAATCCCCAGCATTTCCTCTCCTTGAGATATCAATTTTCTGCCTCCTAAGACTTCGGAAAGTTTCAGCCATCACAAGGACTCCATCATAAGTCAGAGCAGAGGTGTACTAATCAAATGAAAACAAATATAATGGTATATTTATAATCTTATTAAGTACCAGAAATGGCCTGAGGTCTTTGTAAGTTTATGACATAAAGCACTATTCTGTCTGAAGGATGGTTAAATTACTGATAATTAATTGACTCTGGCTTCAGAAATTTCTATTCTTGCTTTAATATAAAGCCTGTACACCAAATCTTATCATCCTGACTTAAAAAGGAGAAAAATCACTTTGAAAAATAGAAACTCTAATAAACAGTTTTCCATCAGTTGGGAGAAGAAACAGCCTCAGGCAAGGTCTTTCTGTTGTGTTCCAGTACAAATAGGTAAAGTATCAAAGGCTAAGGGGGTGTTGTAAGCTGCCTTGTAGTCAGTTTCTGTGGTTGAGCCCCAGGAGAGCTGGGCCTCTTAATCTTTTCCTCCTCCAAAATGCCTAGCAAGGTTCCCTGAGATTTAATGTATACTCATTAACTTGAAGTATATATCTTTGTTCAGTCTCCCAGAAGAATGAGTGGAATTATTTATTGTTATTCAGAAATATGATGCCAGAAATAACATCTACTTATTTACAAATGTGTTTGCACCAGTCACTGTGCTAAATAGGAATGGATATTGCCACACCCCATGAGGTAGCACAGCAAGGCAGAATCATTTCATTAAATTTTCAATATAAACTAGGATCAAAGTAGAGATAAGAAGGATAGACCATCTGCTTCTTTTTGAGAAAAGAGTGAGCTCCCCTACCCCTGAAAAGATTATTATGATTAGGAGAAAAAGTGAAGAAAGATTGAGATAAAAATGTAGTTTTCTAGTTACAAAAATAAATCAACATGGGTTCACTTTTGGTAGAGATTTATTAGAAAATTACTGAACACGTGGAAATGGGGCACAATATTCTTAAAGCATGGCAGATCTACTTATTCAACAAATGTGTATGTACTAGTCACTGTGTTAAATAGCATCAACTACTAACTACTAATCATGACAAAAACTACATTATCTCCTTTAGAAATTCCATATGGTCAATTCCGTATAATTAACACCTTCTATGCCTGTCTGAGCAGTAGGTTTGTGCTGTAGAAAGTGGAGGATGATCTCCTTGATTGTCTGCTTTCAAATGAAGAAAAATCATTTTTTTTCAGGCGGAGAGTGGAGAAGGATCACCTGAGCCCAGGAGGTTGAGGTTGAGGTTATAGTGAGCTGTGATCGTGCCACTGCACTCTAGCCTGGGTGACAGAGAAAGACCCTGTCTCAGACAAAAAAAAGAAAATAAAAGAAAGTAAACTTAGGCAACGTGGCCATGAGGCATAGCAGCCACCATTACAGGGAAGAGAAGAACTAAAACATGGATAAAATAAGGAATATTAATTCTAACGAAGAACTGTTCAATAGTATAGGATGTAACTCTTGTATTAGAAGGATTTATAAGAACCATTTAAATTAAGAGCTTTCCTATATATTCCTCCAGGACATGATAAAACAAGCTTCTGGACAGACATGCCCTTCACAATTGATTGGGATGTGGTAGCTGAGAAAAATTAAGGTGTTTAATCAAGGTACTACACCAAAAATGAAGTGCCTCCTCCCCTGCCTGACGCAACACATCTTTGAGTAGAAAAGTCATCAAATCATCTTTTTTTGGTAAGGCAAGAAAATAAAAACAAGAAATAAAATGAATCTTGCTTAAATCATAAAGGGTAAGAGAAAAATGCAATGCTAGTACTGAGGACCAAAGGAGGAAAAAAAGAAAAATATTGCTCCTTTTTCAACAGAAAGAAAGAAGCTGAAAAGAGATGGCACCAAAAACTAAACACACTTGCTGTGTTTTAAAAAGTCCATCCATTTGTTTGAAATATGTGAACCAGAAAAAAGGGCAGGTATCACACAGAGTGGTATAGAGCAAAGGAGACATTCAGCCAGGGCAGCAAAGACCTAGAATTTGACAGGTCATAGAGCTGAGAGATGTAAAGAAGTAATAGTTTAAATTGGTTTTACCTTTTCAAATGATGTAATTCTTTTTTATGTGTCTTACTGTGCTACAATCCAGGGAACCATAGTTACAGGCACACAACTTCTAGGTGGCACCTAGAAAATTCTTAATCATTTCATTTTTAGGCAGGGTAAATAGTGTCCTATAGTTATTTACTGCTCTGTAAGTAATTAGAATAATGGAATGGTTTCTGTTTACTAAGATTTATAGATAGCAAGACAGAATTAGGCAGAATCATAGTGTGGTAGAAAAAGTATGGGCTTAGAGAAGAAAGAACTGGGATGAATATTAATTCTATGACTCATAGGTTTTTGGGAATGTGAAGCACATTTTTGACTATGGAGTATAAAACAGAGCAAAACTAAGATAATAATGGTTGTTATAAGAATGAAATTTCATATCATACCTGAGAGCTCTTTGAAAAATGTACCAGACTCTAGCTAGGAATCTTAAAGACCACAAAGGTAAGTATTTGATGGTTACTGCCCAGAGAGTTTATAGGAGTGAAACAGTAAGTGTGCAAATGATTATATTAAATATGCAATGAGAATTACCCAATCAAATACTATGAAGAGAACAAGGGAAAAAGGAATTAAATTTACCAAAAAAAAAAAAAAAAGAAAGAAAGAAAGAAAGAAAGAAAGAAAAAGACAAAGAAGAAAAGATTTCATAGAGAAAGTGGAATTTGAGTTTGAGAGAAAGACTTGGAAGATGGTTGGCTTTGGATAGGTAAACATGATGGTGGAGGACTTTTGAGGTAGAAGCATGTGCGCAGGGAGTGATAAAGGGTGGGGAAATGCAGGGCAACTCAGACTGGCTGGAGCATCAGAAAGGGGGCAGAGGTCATGCAATTGGAAAGTCTTGATTGGCCTATAGAATGGAAGACCTTGATTCCAGGAGATTTTTTTAAAGTGAGGAAGTGACATGATCAGAAGTCATGCTTTTAATCTTGTTTGAAAAATTAAACAAAGTATATTTTAATTAATTATAATCAATCCTCATTTGTGGATTTTAAATTTTCAAATTTTTCTCCTTGCTAATATTTATTTGTGATTCTCAGATCAATACTTGTGGCACTTTTATGGTTATTTGTGGAACTGTAGAGTGGTGAAAAATTTGAGTAACCCAACACACAAGGTCCCAGCTGTGGCTGAACAAGAAAACACTGTTTTCTTGTTTCTGCTCTCATACTGTAAACAAGTGTCCTTTTTGTGTTGTATTTAGTACCATGTTTTCTGCAGTTTTGTGCTTTTTGCTGATGATTTCACTGTTTAACACAGCCCAAAAGCATAGTGTTGACGTGCTGTTTTGGATTCCAAAGTGCAGGAAGGCTGCAATGTGTCTTATGGAGAAAATCCGCATGTCAAATAAGCTTCATTAGGGCATGAGTCACGGTGCTGTTCGCCAGAAGTCCAATGTTCATGAATCAACAATACATTAAATAAGGTTTCTTTAAACAGAAACACCCATAAAACAAGGTTATGTACTAAATCGTTGACAAAAAGTTTGTAAACAGAGGCTAGCAGAACTTAACCTTACATTTTCCCTGTGAGCAATGGTTCCATATTTACTCATTCAGAATTTAAAGAGACTTTCTAGAACATAACTGCTGTATATAATGAGAACTAATTGTACTGCATGTATTTATTAAATGGCTACTGAATGCCTAGCATTATGCCAAGAGCTGTGAATGATGAGAGGACTATACAAATTTTTACATAACAAGGAGGCCAACGCTATAGCATAGACAAGTCTAATTGGAGATAATCAAATAGGAGACATTAAAATGATTATATCCTGTGTATTCATGAACCTGGTCCTTGGCTCAGGGACAGCCAACTAATATATCCATTTAATAATTTGCATATATATATCTGTAAAATCAAAGGATTGGGCTATAGTGCTTGACACATAGTGGACACCCATTTAATGTTCTGTTTTGAAATTCTATGATTTTTATAAGGCAGGGAAGATGGTATGCCAACCTAGCCAAATTCCAGCATTTCCTCTGAAAGATTTCTTCTCTAAGAAATTGACATGGCCAGTATGAAGTATTACAATTAGGAAATAGAAGCAGAGCTGAAACCTTCTAGTCTTAGATCTTATTTTTTCTAGGCTTGAGTTTCCAAATTATATATAAAACTTTTTACTGGAATACACTGTAAGTAATAGATTAGCAAATGATGATGATGGTGCCTTATTAGGTAGGGACTCAAACTGCTAAGTTGGAGTTTCAGGAACATTATGTCATAATTTAACATGAGGTCTAAGAAAGTCATCTACTCTTTTAGTTTGAACAAATATGCTTATGATCATAAATTTACCAGCTTTTTCTGAGCAAATATTAATAGCATACTTTCACAATGTCAGTCAGAAAAACATGAAAACAACCAGGAAAGAGAACTTTTACAGAAGCTTGTATATTTTACATTTCTGCGAATTTCCTAATTTGCTTACTCATTGCAAATCACTTCAAAAAGATTTCTGTGTGGGAAAAAATTTACTAATGCTCTGTCACATTTGGAATATTTAGTTAACAGTTTTTTTTTTAAATATAATTTTGCAAGGAAATTCATATGCAATGTACTGTAAGAATAATAGTAAACTGATTGAGCTAATGTCTATCAACTCTACTCTTAAAAACAGAAATTCAGAAATTATTAAGTACATGTGCAGGGCAGATATAAGTACAAAATGCCTTTTTCCTATGCCAGCCTATGTTTGCCAAAATGTTAGTGAGAGAACTGTATAATAAAATCTCTATCTTAATTTTTGAAAATATCAGTAATACAGTAGATAAAATAAAAAAAATACCTTTGGAGGAGTCTCAGATCCTGGATACTCTCTCTGATCTAGTTTCTTCCAGCGGTCCATTAGTTTTATTACCATAGGTGTATTAAAATCTACCAACTGGAATCCAGTTACATTGGCTCCACCATGTATAAACCTCTCAAGAGAAATATCCTTGAATCCCTATAAATATTTATAGAAAAGATTGTTAAATTTAGTTTGTTATACATGACAGCTCTTCAAGAGTAACATAAATTAATAACCTATACAAAATAATAGATTTCTATAAAGCAATGGCTAAAAATGTGGAAAATAATAAAAGATGTGGAAAACCTAATTATGTCTATTTAGCTGTTAAAATCTGTAATTCAAAATCCAATACATGATACAAAGATAAATTTTTATTTCAGTTCAACTCGAGTATTTCTTGAATGCCTCTGATTGCCTTTTATGAAGTATAAAGGGGGATATAGGAGATAAATATGATTGCATCAAAAAGTCTCCTGTTTCTCACTAACTCATTTTATGAAACTAGCATTATACTGATACCAACATTTGGCAAGGACACAACAAAAACAAAAACCATAAGCCAACATCTCTGATGACCACAGTCATAAAAATCCTCAATAAAATACTAGCACATCAAATCCAGCAGCACATCAAAAAGACAACTCACTGTGCTTAGTAGGTTTTATTCCAGGGTTGCAAGGATGGTTTAACATATACAAAGCAATAAATGTGATTCATCAAATAAACAGAATTAAAAGAAAAAACCATGCAATCATCCCAACAGATACAGAAAAAAGCGTTTGATAAAATGCAACACATCTTTGTGATAAAAACTCTCAACAAACTAGGCATCAGAAGAACATATCTCAAAATAATAAAAGCCATCTATGACAAACCCAAGGCAAACATCATACTGACTGGGTAAAAGCTTGAAGCTTTATTCCTAATAGACTGGGTAAAAGCTTGAAGCATTATTCCTAATAAGTGGAACAAGACAAGGATGTCCACTCTCACCACTTATATTTAATATAGTACATCCAATGCTAGCCAGAACAATCAAGCAAGAGGGGAAAAAAAAGGCATTCAAATAGGAAAAAAGGAAGTCAAATTATCTCTGTTTACTAATGACATCATTCCATACCTAGAAAATTCCAAAGATTCCTCCAGAAGACTACTGCATCTGATAAACAACTGCAGTAAAGTTTCAAGATACAAAATTGATGTCCCCAAATCAGTTGCATTTCTATAGCCAACACTGAAGCTGAGAATCAAATGAAGAATTCAATCTTATCTAAAAATGCTACCCCCCAACATACACAATATCCAGCAATGCATTTAACCAAGAATGTGAGAGACCTCTACGAGGAAAACTGCCAAACACTGATGAAAGAAATCATAGATGACACATAAAAATGGAAAAACATCCCATGCTCATGGATAGGAAGAATAGATGTCATTGAAATGATTACCTTGCCTAAAACAATCTACAGATTGAATGTAATTCCTATCAAATTACCAACATCATTTCTTGCAGAATTAGAAAGAAAATTTTAATATTCATATGAAACTTATTAGTTCCATATTAGTCTTTATTAAGACCTTGAATAGCCAAAGTCATCTTCAGCAAAAAGAACAAAGTCAGATGCATCACATTATCTAACTTAAGACTATATTATAAGGCTATAGTAACCGTAACACATGGTATTAGTACAAAAATAGACACATAGATCAATGGAACACAAAAATAAAAACAGAAATAAAATAACATACCTACAACCAACTGATCTTTGACAATGTCAAGAAAAATAAACAAGGGGAAAGGATACTGGATTTAATAAATAATGTTGGGAAAACTGGCTGGCCCTGTGCAGGAAACTAAACTCCTACCTTTCACCATATACAAAAATTAAGATAGATTAAAGACTACATAAGATATGAAAATATAAAAATCCTACAAGAAACCTAGGGAAAACTCCTCTGGATATTGATCTAGACAAATAATTTATGACTAGGATCTTAAAAGCAAAGAAAACAGAAACAAAAAAAGACAAATGGGATCTAATTAAACTAAAGAGCTTCTGCACAGCAAAATAATCAACAGAGTAAATAGACAACCTACAGAATGAGAGAAAATATTTGCAAACTATGCGTCTGACAAAGTAGTAATATCCAGAATCTATAAGGAACTTAAATCAACAAACAAAAACCAAATAACCCCATTAAAAAAGAGTAAAGGACAAGAACAGACACTTGCCAAAAAATGATATACAAACAGCCAGCAAACATATGAAAAAAATGCCCAACATCACTAATCATCAGAGGAAAAAATTAAAACCACAATAAGATGCCATCTCATGCCACTCAGAATGGTTATTATTTAAAACTAAAAAAATAGCGGATGTTGGTGAAGATGTGGAGACAAGAGAACACTTAGTAACTGCAACTGTTTTTGAGAATGTGAATTAGTCTAACCCTATGGAAAATAGTATGGAGATTTCTCTAAGAACTATAAATAGAACTATCTTTTGACATAGCAATTCCACCACTGGGTATATACCCAAAGGAAAAGAAATCATTTTTTCGAAAAGACACCGGCACTCATATGTTTACTGAGGCACTATTCACAGTAGCAAAGTCATGGAATCAGTCTAAGTGTCCTGAGAAATGATAATCCAAGGGAAGAGAGCAAGATAAGCCATTCATGGACTCGTGTGTGGTAGGAAAAAAGAGAAGAAGCTGGGAGGGAAGGATGCTATCCCTTCTTGCCTAGAGGTAGTTATCAAGGATTCAAAAATTCTGAACAATTCACACACACACACACACACGTACATCTGTCATCTATCATATCTGTTATCTACACATTTTTCTATTATTTATCCATCTATGTATGTATGTATCTATATCTGTCCATTATCTATGGTTTATCTATGTATTATCTATCACCTCTACCAATTATCTGTCATTTCTCCGTCTTCCATCTATATATCTATCCATATATCATCTTTGTTTTATACATGGCTCCCTTTTATTGCCACTACTTTATGTGCCTTATAAAAAGCCACATTTAATACAAAGTATAAAACAGACCATAGCAAAAAGAGAGAGAAAAAGCATACTAAGGAAGTGAATTAATAAAGCCAAAGGTATTAGCTCAGAGAAAAGTAAATCACATACACACACACATACATGAGCTCGTACCCTTTGTAGTTGCTTGCTTTCTGTTTTCTCTTAGTATTTAGTAAAGTTTCTTTTGAAATGTGAATATGCTTTAGTTTGCTGAGGTAATGAAGGGAGAGTGTTTTGTCTGGTTTTTAGTGGAAATAAAATGTGTAGCAATAACCCTGTAGTTATAGTAGGAAGTAATGAGGACTTGGAGTTGCTTGTCCTTCTGAATACACCTTGGCCATGGTTTTGGGATCTTCAGATTATTTGTTTATTTCCTCTCTCCCTCCCTCCCTTCTTTCTTCCCTCCCTCGATTCCTTCCTCCTCCTCCTCCTCCTCTTTTTTCTTTTATAATGAAGTAGATTGCCTTCTAAACCAATATATGTGTATTGCTGTTTGGCTAGCTAAGAAAAAATAAATCAGTCTACTGGCAACTGAGAAAAATTGCTGTTAAGAAGCATCGGTATATGAGCTAACAGCTATTATATGATGAGCTTATTATAGGCCAGGTACTGTGCTAAGCACATTACACAGATATTGATCTAGTTTAGCTTCATAACAAGGTTATGAGATAGATCCTATTATTAGCCTTATCCTACAGATATGAAAACAGGCTCAGGAAACTGAAGAAAAACCATTCAAGGCCATCCAGCAAATGTGTGGTAGAGCTAAGATTCCAGCCATTCAAACAACCTCTTGAGTTTGCCTTTTTCACCTTATACTCCTGCATATTGTTACACAGAGGTGTGTTTTAAATTTTTATTAATTTATCTATAGGACAGGCAAGGTGATATTGTACCCCCACCACCACCACCAAAAATAAATAAATAAATAAATAAATAAATAAATAAACACACCTCAGGCTTTGGATTCTACCTCTGTTACCTTCTAATCTTATATGTTCCACATTCAAAATGAGAATGAGAATGCTATGGTATCCAGCACACCTGCTTTGAATTCAGCAAATGATCACTATTATCAATTAATTCACTCAACAAATATTTATTTCATGCCTATAATATGTCAGCTAATTTGACAGCTAATCAGTAACATTCTCATTTTGTCGATAAAGAAACTAGACACCAGAAAGTAAGCCTATGTTTCTGAAATGGGAAAAAAACACTGCCCATCAATCTCCAGCTAGCAAAATGTCAGTTGAACATTTGTTTGCTTCTATCAGAGTATAGGGCAGACCCAGAGGCAGGCAAATAATTCCAATGTTTCCTAAAAGCCACAGTAATTCAACTATTGCATTAGTTGCTAATTGATGACATTATTATTTTCTTTCAACCATGGCTGAAATGGAAGGTCTGCCAAATCTTCTTTCATAACGTTATCTACAGCTGCAGGATAAAGAGGCAAAGCTGCAGCCTTCAGAAAAATCATCTGATGTAAAGTCTAGCTGATAAATAATAGTTCACATTTCTCAGAATCCATCCTGTTCTTATGCTGAAGGTAAACGGAAACATTGCCATGTCTGATTATAAACCCCTTTCAGTTATGATTTGAATGAATGGTGGGTGGCTCAGTTAATTTCAGCTATGTCTGTTTTGAGTATAGGCAGTATTTCTCTTTCCATACATTTTCTTAGGATTTTATACAGAAAATTGATAGTATATAGACTGTGAGGCAGTTTTCTTGGAAACATTTATTTTGGTGGCCATTTTGATTTCATTTTTTTATCCAAAGAATATTGTGGAACTGAGAGTGCCTGTGCAACATCATAAAAAATTATTCACTCCACAGTCCGGGGGAAATCAGTGGTTAAGTGACTAAATAAATAATGTTTCTGAAGGTAGGGGGAAATCAAAGGAAAGGCTTTCTATTTGTTAAAATGGGCTACTACTGCCGGGCGCGGTGGCTCAAGCCTGTAATCCCAGCACTTTGGGAGGCCAAAGCGGGTGGATCACGAGGTCAAGAGATCGAGACCATCCTGGTCAACATGGTGAAACCCTCGCCTCTACTAGAAATACTAAAAGTTAGCTGGGTATGGTGGCACGTGCCTGTAATC